CACTTTGGATGCGCATAGCTAACCTTTGCAGTGCTTCAAATACATTGTCAATTCTCCTCCTGGTCCCTTGACGCAGGAAGACATCTGGTTCCAGATTGGACATGTCCATGAGCAGCAGAAGGATGTAAGTGTCTAGCCATAGCAGCAAACATGACGACATGCCTAATTTGATACAGTTCGATAGCGCTAAGGCTGCCTACCAACGTGTCCTGGACCATTCACCCAACCATGCCAAGGTTCTTCAGCAGCTTGGTTGGCTGCATCACCAGCAGAGCAACACGTATGAGAGCCAAGATAGAGCCATCCAATATTTGGAGAAGTCGGTCGGCGCAGGTACGTTATGAACGCAAAACAACTTAATACCCGTTCTAACATGCGACCAGACAATCAAGATGCCCAGAGTTGGTATCTCCTGGGCCGATGCTATATGTCGCAGCAGAAGTATCCAAAAGCTTATGAGGCTTACCAACAAGCTGTTTATAGAGATGGAAAGAACCCAACTTTCTGGTGCTCCATCGGTGTGCTTTACTATCAAATCAACCAGTACAGAGACGCACTTGACGCTTATTCTCGCGCCATCAGGCTGAACCCTTATATCTCAGAAGTTTGGTATGATCTGGGAACTTTGGTATGTTTTATTGGTCAGCCCTTTTCCCCTTGGCTGTATACTGACAACTTGATAGTACGAAAGCTGTAACAACCAAATCACGGATGCTCTTGATGCTTACCAGCGTGCTGCTGAACTTGATCCTAACAACCCCCATATCAAGGCAAGACTTCAGCTCCTTCGCTCTGGTGGTACCAATGGGGGACCTCCTCCTGCTCCTCAGCCTGCAGATGTTCACCCGCAAGCTTACCAGGCCGCTGGCCCCGTTGGACCACAATGGGGAGGATCAACTCAACAGCCGCCTGCTGCCGGTCCTCCACCACCCCCTCAAGGCCCAGGAGAGAACTGGGCGGGCAGACTGTCTAACATCAACCCTCCACCGCAACCTCCCAATCCTTATGAAGCCCGAGGCGAGCCTTTCCGTGGAGGACCTGCACCACCTCTGCGACAACCTAGCCCTCAGCAAGAGCAGCTGCGCCAGCCCTATAACGATCCCAACCGAGGCGGCCCTCGCCGTGGTCAAACACCCCCTCCTCCTCCCGGCCATCAATACTCTCAACCACCGCACGCACCTCCACAATCCCAGCCTTCTGCTCCCGCTTCTGAGCGACGAGTCGCAAATCCTAACTGGGGTGGAGCAACACCGTCAGCATCAGCACCCCCACCCAGCAACATTAATGGCCCCAACGGTCCTAACGGCATGGCTCCTTTCCGACCTACCAACAGCCCTCGACCTGATGGCCGCCCTGTTCATGACAACCGCATGCCTTCGCCAAAATCCGCATACCCTCAGCACCAAGCCCCCCCTCTGTATCCTCAACATCCTGAGATGGCTGCTCAGGGAACTGAGAATGGCCCTCAAGGACCATCCGGACCGCCAGGACCGCCTCCTCCACCCACAGTAGCGGAGGCTGCTATGCAGAGAATGGATGACCGGCCACCTTCAGTCGGCCCCAAGCGCATGCGAGAGTGGGAAGAAGAATCTGCTGCCAAGAAGCAAGCCAGTGAGGAAAACAGAGTTCGACTCGACGACATGCGTCATCGAAGAACGTCTACTCCTCCTCGTGATAACTATCGTCGTAACTCTTCCGAAATTCGACGGGCAGATGATACTCGTCGACCTGATGAACCACGCCGCGAGGAACCCCGCAGACCCGAATCAGCCCCTCGCCATGCCACTGAGAGCTATCATCCCTCAGAAGCAGCCCACCACCCCCCGAGCCACGCCTCTGGTCCCAGCCATTTACCACCAATGCAGCAGCCACCTACTCCGATGTCTGGCGTCGTTCACGAGAAGCCACCAGTATCTGCTACGCCTAAAGAAGATCGCCCCCCAAGTCTGGAACATGCTCCGCCTCCTCCTCGCGCAGCTCCCCCTGCCGAGCCTGAAAGAGCAGCAAGAAAGATGGACGTTGACGAGGACTACGATGACAGTGGGGAAGACGAGAAGAAGGCGACTATTGTCACAAATGGCTCTGGTCCCAGCTCGGCAGCCGGAGATGCCAAGACATCCACTCCCGCGAATGCTGGTGTAAACGGAGTTTCTGGTACCGTCACAAAAGTTGAATGAATGATAATTTGACAGCTGCTTGTTATTTATGAGTTGAAGACATCTCTTATCTGTGCCGATTAGTCTGCCTTTTGTATACCACTATTATCTGGGGGCGTGGTTTCTTTTGTTTGGACGGGGAGGCTCGAGACAGAAATTCAAAACCGGCGGTTATGGTCCTTCTTGGCTACGATTTCACCGGTGAACAAGAATATTATGCACATTAATTTCCTTACTCTGATCAATAAAATTCAGTTGTATCTTGTGTTACTACAAACCGTGTTCTCCATCCAGTGACGTTGGGCTGCAGACATTTCACACTACCCCTGCTAGACATGATCACGCTAGACCACATTCAGAAACCATCAAGGTCACGTGAGAGACTAGAGGGCTACCTTGTCGGTGTAGAATCTAGCCCTCGGATTCTTTCGGTGTCGGCTCGGTGAGTGAGGGATGGTGGGTCTGGGTGAGCACGGGCCACCCCACGAATTTCTAGCGATTCGCTTAAAATTTCGCCCACAGTTTATTTCTTTATCTCTTCTTTCTCAGGCTTTGACAACTCAGGTTCATACTAACCCCCTCAAACCACACAGCCAGCCCAAGATGAGTGTGAGTGAAGATCTCGACAACGAAAGAAATTGCTTCAGTTTGGTTAAACTAACAATATGGACAGCACCGAAAGTATGAGGCTCCCCGCCACGGCTCCCTGGCTTATCTGCCCAGGAAGCGCGCTGCTCGTCACCGTGGAAAGGTCAAGTCGTGAGTATTTTCTGCTGCGCCCACAAGAAGAAAAAAACTTTTTGGCAATCTCTCCCAGCTGAGGAAGATATTGGCTAATGCATTGGGACAAACAGCTTCCCCAAGGATGACCCTAAGAAGCCTGTCCACCTGACAGCCGCTATGGGTTACAAGGCTGGTATGACCACCATCGTTCGTGACCTCGACCGACCTGGCGCCAAGGCCAACAAGAAGGAGGTTGTTGAGGCTGTTACCATCGTCGATACCCCACCTGTACGAACAATGCAGCCCGCTTGGCTATGTGCCTACGGCTAACATCTTTTAGATGATCGTTGTTGGTCTTGTGGGATACATCGAGACTCCCCGAGGCCTGCGATCCCTCACCACCGTCTGGGCCGAGCATCTGGGCGACGAGCTTAAGCGCCGATTCTACAAGAACTGGTACAAGAGCAAGAAGAAGGCTTTCACCAAGTACGCCAAGAAGCACTCCGAGAACAGCGGTGCCTCCATCACCCGCGAGCTCGAGCGCATCAAGAAGTACTGCACCGTCGTCCGTGTCCTCGCCCACACCCAGATCCGAAAGACCCCTCTCAAGCAGAAGAAGGCCCACCTCATGGAGATCCAGGTCAACGGTGGTTCCATCGCCGACAAGGTCTCTTTCGGTCAGGAGCTCTTCGAGAAGCCCGTTGACATTTCCAGCATCTTCGAGCAGGATGAGATGATTGACGTTATTGCCGTCACCAAGGGTCACGGATTCGAGGGTGTTACCGCCCGTTGGGGTACCAAGAAGCTTCCTCGCAAGACTCACAAGGGTCTCCGAAAGGTTGCTTGTATCGGTGCTTGGCATCCTTCCCACGTCCAGTGGACTGTTGCCCGTGCTGGTCAGCGAGGTTACCATCACCGAACCTCGGTCAACCACAAGATCTACCGCATTGGTAAGGGCGATGCTGACGACAACGCCGCCACTGAGATCGATGTCACCAAGAAGACCATCACTCCGTATGTTGACCCAATCTTGCCAGGTATCGGCTGACAATTGCTAACACTTTGATAGTCTCGGTGGTTTCGTCCGCTATGGTGAGGTCAACAACGACTTCGTCATGGTAAAGGGTTCTATCCCTGGTACCAAGAAGCGAGTCATGACTCTCCGAAAGACCATGTTCCCCCAGACCTCCCGAAAAGCCCTCGAGAAGGTCAGCCTCAAGTGGATCGACACCTCGTCCGAGTTCGGACACGGTGCTTTCCAGACTCCTGCGGAGAAGAAGCAGTACCAGGGTACCCTCAAGAAGGATCTTGCCTCCGCTTAGAGCGGCTGCTTGTTTTCTTTCTTGTCTTGACCAATTCATTGCACCGGTGTCGAGGGTTGGTTCGTTACTACTGTACGCCTTGCGTTTGGGCTGGGTTAGGTTATAACTGGCGTGGAACGTAAAAAAAGTCCAGCCAGAAGAGGGATGGCTTTCAAAAATTCTAACGAGATTCCCAATGTTAATATGACTGTACCTTTGTTCTCCGGTGAATGTGTGTTTTGAGTTGTGTTTGTGCCGCCTTCTGTAGCTGTCCAAACGAGACCCAGGTGTCGAGACATGCAGATAGCTACCTACTTGCCTATGTTGTGGCATGACTAGAAATGCTTTGTTACATGTTTTCACTCCATCAACTGCCTCGAACTGTACGGACGCTTTAATTATTGGCCAATTTACTCTGGTTTCGAGATCTCAAGATGTTGATCTAGCACTAACGTCACACTAAGAGTAATGTTTACAATAATATAAGGCAGATATCATACACTTTGCCCAAAAAAGGGGGAAGAGAAAAAAAAGGATACAACACTGTAGTTGTTGCCTTAAGCTTGGTTATACTTTAGACACGCGTTAATATAGGTACTGCTCTATGGTAAGATGTATTTTTCTAGCTTTCTAGGTTTATGCTTGCATTATGTGCAAAGTAAAGTTTATTGTTCCCAAGTGAAGCTCCCACTTGTGGTTCACTTATACTCAAACTTGACCTTGAACTTGACCTTGACCTTGTGCAGTGAATACCTGCTACCTAGTAGTTATACGCGGGGATTGCTCTTGGTTTGTTCATTCCGCTGACTGATACGCAGTCATGGGCAAAAAGAAGAGCAAAAACAATAGCACGGGAGCCGCCTCGAGTGCACCAGCAAAAGCGCCCATTACGACCTCGACTGTCGCAACGGATCCCATACTTGGCTACAGGATCCGAGTTCTTCTCCACGATTTCCTCAACGTTACTAAAGACTCTCGCTCACAGAAGCGCCTCAACTCTACAATCGACGAACACTATATCAGTGGCCCATATTTTGATGGGGGACAAGCAGCGACGGTCAAAGCGGCGATTATAGATGTTGACCTTGTCAAGCATGTTGCAGCTGACGGTATTGAAGATATCGATGGAGATTTGATCTCACAACAAGGGGATAGTTTCGAAACCGCAGTTCGAACACTTCTGGGTGGTTTCCTCGACAAACGACGTGCTAGCGGCGATGCTCGACCGTGCGGACCTCATCATTTGGCGCCTTTATATGCCAAGTTCTTTGGGATTGATTTGGAGGAACTCAAAGAGGATAAGTTCCTAGGTCGTCTGAGGAGGGCCGGCATCTAATCAACCTATCAAAGTGGTAGGGACAAATGCACTATATTCTTGACGGAATGGAACACTGACTACCTTACCCACCTAAGCATTTTAGGATAGTGCTGATCTATGTTGTGATTGGCCGATGTACCCCTGCTGTGAACCTCATACCTGACGTCACCCCACTCCCCAAACTTGCATCTGCATGTTGCGTTACAGCTTTCGACTTGACGCCTGAGCTGAGATCTCTCCCAATGACACTTCGAACTCCTTTCAGACGCCTCCTCAACCTGAATCTCGGCCCTCTTCTTTCTCGAAATCAACCCGTCCTCCCGCGAACGACTGCCTCTCGACACAGCACAAGACTAGTCAGCAACACCAGATCCCTCAACATGTCAAACGACGACGATTACATGGCCTTCCTGAACAAGGCCAACCAAGACACCGGCGCTGGTGCAGCGACTCAAGAAAAGACTACATTCAAGACAAAGGACCGGGGCGCTCAAGTCCCCAAACCCATCAGCGACGTGTGCAAGAACGCCGTATACACATCCGACGCAGACGAGCCCTTCCAAGAGGTTTCTCTCAAGTGGGAGGGCAAGAATGGTCTCCCTAGCGAGTGTAAGAAGTGCACTCCTACCGATGAAGATGATCAACTGACATGCTGTTAGCCGAATTCGCCAAACTCATCAACCACTCCTCCCCGGACTCGGCAGACATCAAGATCCTTGATCCTCTCAACTGGGACTCTCACGGCAAATACACCGACGTCATCGAGGCTGTTCGAGAAGCCTCGCAGGGTAATGATGTTCGTGTATATCAAGTGACGAGAGATGCGACGAGAACCGAGTATTGGGTTGTTTCGCACGCTGACGGCAAGCTGATTGGTGCTAAGGCACTCTCTGTTGAGAGCTGAGCGCGTACCGGTGGACATGTAATGATCTTTTGAGCGTTTTTTACAGGAAATTTATGAGTTAACGTGATGAGTACGCTTGAGTCTGCTGTATTTGTTGACTCGTGCATGACTGCCCGTGTGTAAAGGCCTGACAGAGCACAACTGATCCAATAGCGTGAGACTTCGGCTTAACACTGTGACCCCAAGGCCCTTTCGTTGAGATACAGGTCTCAGCAGCCTCCAGGATCACATATCTTAGTAGTATTGTAACAGCTTTCGAGATTTCTGGCCACCTTGGTTGGCTTGTCCATCCATAATTACCATATATGATAAGCTTGAAACCACCAGAAGTTTGATTTCCAGCTACCCTATGGCGAACGTCTTGGACTTATGCGCATAGACACATACCGTGACGTGATAATGTGTTAGGGCTACATGACAACGGAAACGCACGAGATATGGAACTGGGCTAAGAGTTAATTTCATGTTCATTCCATGTTTTCATTTCTCATAAATGCCCACTGTTGAGCTCGGTATCCTCATATTACCGATCCCTCCTTAAATTTACAGTAACAGAACTCCATTCAATCAAATGCTCCAAGACCGCCGGTAATGCAATAAGCCCAATAAAGAAACATCCATGTCTTTCTTGAAACCTGTTTAATCTGTACGTAGCATGTCTGGCGGCACCGGAGAATCCCTCTTTAGACCAGGACTAGAACCAAGTCTACTGAGAGTATTTTCTGGTAGCATGAGTATGACTTGGCTCTCCTCATCTCGGCGCGCGATTGGAGTTTTGATATCCAAGTCCATCTCACCAGTCATGTGCTGAGACCCTTCTGATACTGAAAGACAACTACTCGTGTCCGACATTTCAACGTCGTTATCCTCTTTCAAGATGCCGCTCAAGCTCTGAAAGCTATCCGTGTTTGGTGTGGGTGCCGTGAGAAAGGTGATGAGGGGTGCCTTGATGGCCGTCACGGGTGTCTTGATCTCTTCAACATCTTTGATTTTGGCAGCCTCAGCTCTCAGAGCAGCAATGGACCCTCCAATGTTCTCGTCATCGCCGTCCTCCTCCTGGCCAATTGTCCATACCCACCGACGCTTCTTCTCCCTCTTCTTGCGCTTTGAGATGCCCTTAGGCCCCGATGGGGAAAGCGGAGTACCTGATGCGGCCAGTCCTGTCATGCGGCGACGCATGTCCTCAAAAGGACCGGGTGTCTGTCCTCCATCCTGAATCTCGTTTGGTGTGAATGCCAAGGCTAGATCGATGGCACTCTGGGGCTGAGGGGGCACGCATGGAGGGGAGTGTGGTGAAGCCTCCTCAACGAGGAGGTCAATGTGAGATTTCGTGTACTTGTTTGTCACAATCTCCTGAGTGAGGGGGTTATTATAGCACACTCTTCGATTTGCTCTATCTTGGAGCCGCCGTGACTGTCGCCGCGGAGACGGAGGAGGAATGGCCGTGGGTGGAGGAAGAGGCGAGTTGCGTAAAATACTGTGAAGTGATCGAGGATGTGTGTAAGGGGCCTGCAGGGTCAACTCAGCAAGAGTTCGTGGGCGAGTAAGAGCACGCTTCTCGGGTTGTGAGCTATCATTCCTTGCTGGGGCCGCGGAAATATCAGCAGGGGAAAAGCTAAAGGCCTTGGGAGTGTTTGAATCCATCGGACCAGCAGACATAGGAGGCGTGGCGGTCATTGTGCTCGGGTAGTTGATTTCCAGTCCTGGATGTGGTGAAGGAGCTGTATCGGATGAAGGAGTCTCAGGGTATGAAGCGACATAGGGCGTAACAACTCTATGTTTCGGGTCCTGTCGTTCCACTGGAGTTGTCAAGCTGAAAGCTTGGAAAGTATTGATGGCAGTAATGGGCTCATGCTGAGATGGGGTTGCTCTTTCGATTGTGGTAACGTAGACATTGGACAGCGTGTTAAAGGCAGTTGGGTCCTTTGGGTCCACTGCATAACTTCTCGATGACCTGGTGGCCGGACTACATGCTGTCTTGATCTGAAGTGAAAGCCGGGGCTTCTTGGGCGGAACTTGAGAAGATGCCATGATGCTAGATGTAGCTGTAGTTGTACTTGATAGGCAGACCAAGAAGGCTGTTGTGCCGGAGTACACAAGAGAGGAGCTGCCAAACTCCCTCGTTGAGTTGCAAGTGACTGTGTCTGTCAACTAACAGACAAGCAACCAACGTCTAACAGGCCTAGGCGGAGACGCTGTTACCGAGAGGTCGGAACCGACAGGGATTATAAAAACGTTGCAATGTCAAAAACGCAGAAACAACACGAACAAACAGCGAGAAACGAGGACTCTGCGTCTATATAGGATGATCGAAAGTGAGACATGCATCTCACTGGATTTTGGGTGGGCGTGGAGACATGACCAGGGCTTTCATCTGCTCTTTGACCCAGTCCCGACACCCAAACAAGCGCCCCTAGGCATGCATGCAGTGTGATAAGCCTTCCATGACCTAGACGCGGAAATATCGGAGGGTTGAGAAGGATTCAGCCGTGGGAGACTCTGGCCTGCCAAAAGCGTAACAAGTTGACGAGGATGTCATTGGCGGGAGCTGTGGTTGGCTCGCCAGAGCAACTTGGTGGGAAGCGTTAGAGGCGCAAGCGCCGAAGTTGAATGTATGATCCTGGTGAGCTTCAACCATGTCCAATCACGCGGCTAACAAGTCGGCTCTTTCACTCGCGCTGGCGTCTATGCAAGAGGATTTCCAATGTCCCCTCCCTTAGACGACATGGCGCCTTGGCATGGAGGAGTTAAGAAGAGAATGACTGGTCATTTGCCCTATCGTCATGTCTTTGAGAACATCTTTTGCTGGTATACCTAAACAAGGACGATCCTTCCCAAGTGTCTAGGGGCTTTTTCGAAAAGTCGGTATGATCCTTCGACGAGAACAATAATCCAACGGCGGCGGGGTGATGCTCAGCCATATTCTAAGCCATGATTTGGACAAGGCTTGCCCTTGTTTTCAAAGCTTCGGCCATCTTTGTTGAAATTGCGCTTGTTTGGTTAGGGCTGACACAAAAGCGCGGATATTCTGCAAACAAACAATAACAATGTGATGAGAAGAGTGATTGTTAACAACAACCAAAGTCCGGAAACAATTGACAAGTGCGGTAAGGATGTCTCGTCCCGATGCAAGTCTTTCAAAACCCAGAGTTTACGCCATTGGCTGGGCCAGACAACCTTCTCTTGCAAATCGAGCATATACTTGGGCGGCTACAGCGCAACTGTGGATGGCTGAAACTGCGTCGTAGTGTATGTCCTGACAAGGATCTAAGCGAGGGACTAGAGTCAGTCTCACTTGAGTTGAGAAGGATCGGAGACAGTTGAAGAAGTGGCTGGATCGTACAGACAAGATGCTGAATTCTCCTGCGAGATTGTGACTGTATATCGAACCGAGCATTGAGTCCATCTACTCGTCAAAAGCACGGATGAGGTGTGGGTGTTTGCAGTATTCCTGAGAATGACTGACATACAGCATGTCACATAATGGGTACCGCACCCGTAACTCTTTTACTGTTGTCCTTTGAAAATTGATTTCTACCGCTTTATCGCAATGAAGAAAGTCAAATTATGAGCTTATTCGCTGTGGATGCGAACGCGAGGGTACCATGTGTCGAGAGGGGGAGAGAGAGAGAATCGCATGAAACAAAATTGTAGATATCGCGTCTATTTCTGCACCAGATCAGATTCGAAAAACAAGACCTTTTTTGCTCTTCGGGCGATTAAATCCAAGGTGATTCATTCCATCAAGAAAACCAATCGTTGTTTGCTGGTATGGGTAACATGATGATGATGATGCAGGGCGTGGTGTAAGTCACATCCATAGATTTGGATGTAGGGACGCATCGACGCCTCAGGCAACCCCCATCGTGGACAGACGCAGCGCCTGCCTGGGCACGGGCACCTTCCGTAAGGTACCTACCCTACCTTTCTTACCCTTCTTACCTTTCTTACCTTAGTACTTCCTACCTACCTACTAAGGTACTAGGTAGTAGCTTGGGGACCTACTGTACCACTAATTTAGAAGGCAACACCGCTAACTTGCAGCCCACCTCAAGCACAACGTGAACGAGCACCCGAACTGATGGTGCATTCCCAGAATTTCATGGCCAGAATT